TGCAGCAGATAGCATCCTTTCTATCTAGAGCTTGTCTACAGCTCTGTAATGGTGCATCTTGTCTCCATGGGGACTTGAGCATGTCGTTTCTACAGAAGCACACTCCAGATTCAGAAGTTCACTAGTGAAGCTGCTGAAGGCTTATCCCCAGTGCCAGATCTCTGCCACATCCAGGGCTTGAGATCAGGCAGTGAAGGATAAGCCCCCAGAAGCCTTGCCAATACTTTTCCAGTTTGGAGCATGTTTGAACACTCAGGTGGGTGGGATTAGCTTGAGCTCCCTCACTACCTGGGTCTACTGCCACAGCAGTATGAATAAGCACTTAGTTACCTATAAGTACATAAGGGGTGTACATCAGGAACTGAGAGGACATCTGTTCACCAGGGCACCCCAAGGGAAGACAAGGTCCAACAGTCACAAACTCCTGGAAGACTGTTTTGGGCTGGACATAAGGAAAAATTTCTTTACTGTCCAAGTCCCCAGGGCCTGGAACAACTCCCCCCAGGGGTGGTGCAAGACCCTACTCTGGACACTTTTAAGAAACACTTGGATGCCTATCTTGCTGGGATCATTTGACCCCACCTGACTTCCTGCCCCTTGGGAAGGGAGCTGGACACAATGATCTAGCAAAGTCCCTTCTAGCCCTAATGTCTGTCTACCTGATTTATTGAAACTAAGAGGTGGGGAGGGGTAAGGGGGTGGAGGAGAGAGACAAGGGGGGCAAAGGACATCAGGCATATTCAGAGCAGTTATGGACACTTAATAAGCTCTTCTGGTTCGATTTCCATATTTTCCTTAATAAAAGTAACATTTTTTCAGGAGATTAAAAATGCCTCAAAAAGGATGACAATGCTAAGGAAGAATGTTATCAGAGGGTTACAGTACAACTTAGAAATTTATGTTAGACAGAAGCTTTTTTCCTTTTAAAAATAGTTAAAGGGCTGAAATGCTAGTGTTGTCCCATAAAAAAAAAATACTTAATTAGTTGTCAGCAGATTTTGTAACTAACCTGAAATTCATTGTTTTCAAGTTCTGCCTTAGAGAACGGTCTCACTCTCAAGTAGACTTTCAAAGGTTGACATGCCTGATCATAAAAAAAAAAAAAGAGTTATACATTTAGTTAAGCTTATTTGTTTCATATTTTTGGCCTGTTGAAAATACAGTAACCCACAATCTCCCTGCTCTTTTCTGTACCACTCCACCTTGAACTAGACACTTGAGAAAAACTTCAGTACTTGCATCCTCCTTATTCTGATACCTTTCCCAAGCTGTCTAACAAAAACATCTACCTCTTTTCATTCAGTCTTAAAAAATAATAGTAATAAAAGTTTTCCTCTCTACAGGCATCTAGCATTCATCTACCAATAGCATGTTAAGTAACTTTTACAAAACTGCAGTGCTTCCATCTTCTGGTCATCTTGTGCATTGAATCTAAAAGTTAGGTTGCTTATATGGTTTATACTTCTGTTTTGAAGGATACATGCATATTCAGCAAATAAAGACCACATAGCCCCTACTACCAAGTCACAAACCTTCTTTAACCTTCTTTGCAGAAATGGCTGCAAAAAAAATCTCTTTGAAGAGTTGCCTTATGTTCCTCTATCCCCAAGAAATCTCCCACCCTTGACTGCTAAAATGTAAGTATCCCTAATTACGTCTCTTCACTAGTTTCTAGTGAGAGGGAACTAAGTGTTGCTTCCCAGGTGGACAGAAGAGGTATTCAAATTTCTATGCTGGCAATGTTTTAGTTGCACTCCATAATTAGCACTCCATGAACACGCAGAATGGACTACTTCCTAAACCAGTGGCTCGCAACTTTGTTAGATTCAAGGCGCCCTTCAGAAAATGCCAGCTATTAGCTTTTACTCTTTTTTTTGACTATGGAAAAATACTAGAGCTATTCTTGTTGCAAAGAACTCAGAAAGACCATGGCAGGTAAGAATGTTTTTAACATTATAGATTCCCATTTGAAGCATGGGACTAACTTGCAAATTATGCATGGGTTCTGGCACACCTAACCATGCTAATACTGTGCAGCACCCTGGTTGAGAATTGCTGACACTAAAAAAAACTGAGGCAGAAGATCTGCTGCTACAAGATAGCAAACAAGCTTGGAGACCAGACAAGGAAAGGCTTTGAAGTTATAAGTTACCACCTTCAGTTAAGTCAGGAGACTAAAGATGCTTAGGATGCCATGAGATAGCAATCAAAGCAAACTTTTTAGATTAAGCAGATTCCAAAAAAGTAAGTGTGAAAACTTCTATTGCACTGTGCCACAATCATTACTTCTAGCTCAAATAGGACAAAAAGATATGCTGGGTAATGGGAACTATTCCTATTCAGCAAACAAGCTGTATGATCTGTTCCTAAGCAGGAAACTACGATTTGGAAAGGAGGGAGCTCTTCACACTAAAGATGAAGTGGTTACAGCTGTGGTCCCTTACAAGCAGAGGCACCAATAAAAAAAAAAAAACAAGGTTCTTTGGGTGAATCCGATATCTTTTATTTAGATATCTAATAAAAGACATAAGATTCACCCAGAGAACCTTGTCCGCCTATGTCCTTATACCAGCACGGCTACAACCTACACCCCTCAATAAAAAAAAAGACACTCCACCTCTGGGTCATCAATAGAGACACTCTCCATGGGGGGGTGTTTGGACATCAGGTCTAGATAGGAAGGGGACTCCAGCACCTCACAGGCTGCTGAAGACATGCTGCTCCCTTCCATAGTTCATTCTCTGCATGGACACCAGGAAGAGGCACCAGACCAGTTGGAGAGAACAAGAGAGAAGAGACATTAAAGAAGCACCCCCCCAGGGGTAGAGAAGAGAAGGGGATAACACAAGCCAGTTTGCAGCTTGTCACCCAGGGCCCGAATGACTCCTGAGCGTAGCAACCCCAACGTAAAGCCTTGGCCCCCAGGACAGGGAAGCCACAGCATCTCCTGCACCTGCAGGGAGGAAAGGGCGGCCTGCTTGCTCCCCTCCCTCAGCCCTTCGCAAAGGATTCCCGCGCAGCCCGCCGCCGGGACCAGCAGCACAGCCGGCAGGGCTGGGAGCCGGGCCCTGCTGAGGCGGGGTGGGATGTAGAGGAAAGAAGCCCCGCACCGGCACCTCAGCAGCAGCGGCCGCCAGCTTCCTGCGCCCGCCTGCCCCGCCTTTTCCCGCGCCGGCTCGGGCCAGGCCCCTGGGCGGGGACTACGGGGCAGGGCCTCTCCCGGGAGTACGGCGGAGCCGCGGCGCGGGTTTGCGGACGACTTGCGGGCGATCGGGACCAGCGAGACGATGGTGCAAAGCCGGCGGCTGCACTGGACGAGGAGAGAGAACGGATCCCTCCCCCCCGCGGCTCGGGCAGGGACATCCTCGGCTGTCTACCCCCTGGAGCCGCGACTCGGCGATTTCATTTCTGCACCAGGCTCGCGAGGCTGAAGCTGCAATAGGGTCTCCTCTTGCGGGGCTTGTATGTTTTGCTTAGTGAAAAACTGGAAGTGTGCGCGAAGGAGCCAAGCACATGACTCTGAAGTCAGAGGAAAGGGGCCAGTGGGGGTTTAACGTACCAAAAAAAAGTGATTTAAAGTAAGCCTTAACAACAGAATACCCTTTAACTGAAGCAGATTAACCATTAGACTCAACTGTCAAGACAAACTGGTTTCTCTCCCCCCACCTTACAAATAGGTATTTTACTTTTTGCTTCACCCATTCTGCTTTTCATGGGTATAGGTTGTAGCCATGTTGGTGTAAGGACACAGGCAGACAAGGTTCTTTGGGTAAATCTTGTATCTTTTATTAAACCAACTCAAATAGTTGGAAAAATTCTTCTTTGCAAGCTTTTAGGTATAAATACCCTTCACCAGGCTGAGAAAGCATGTACAGTTGGAAGGGATAACAGGAGGAGTATGCACCGTATCAGCCACATTATAGCCATGCTGGACAAGAAATTACATACAGCAAGGATTTCTTAGTGGTCATCTTTCATTGGACCAACTACACAGTTGGGATAGTTTGACAAGCTTCCAAATGTAAGACCTGAGGAAGGTCTTGCCTTGGAGAGCTAGTCTAACTTTATCCCAACTATATAATTGATCCAATAAAAAGGTATCACCCTCAGCCTCTCCCTTTTATCACTTAGGACAGACAGGGAAGTGGGAAAAAAGTTTATTCTCAAATCTCATCTTCTGGCCTGTGCTTTGAGTTTCCCCCATCCACTAGTCTTCCTTTTTGTTTGAAAACAAAACCACTTTGGAGATATGGGGTGATTTGTCTGTTATGATCAATTTTTTTAAAAAGACAGTTCCAACAAAACTAAAATGTAAACCCTGCCTGAATAGTGATTCTGCATTTATTTTCCTAGGGGCTTTTTTTGTCCTCTCTGATTGCAGAAAGGCCCAAGTCCTTTGTTTTCAACTCAGTTTTTCTAACTCTGAGCCATCTTGCTTATGTTGGAAGACCAGCACATGTGAACCAGCAAAATATTACAGTAGTTAAAAAAAACAAAACAAAAAACTTAATTTCTACTAAGAAAAAGTAAGTGAACAAAAAACCCAAATTACATTTTTATTTGACTTGCACAATGAAGTCTAGCAAGACAAAGCATTAAACTTCAATACCCTTGGGCCATCAAAGTTTTATAGTTGAATACAAACAAACAAACAAACAAACAAACCCCAGCCCCACCAAGTTTTGCACTACTGCACTTAAAGTAGCAGGGTTCAAGCCTTTGTATTTCACTTTTGTATCAGGTACAGCTTATCCAAAAACAGCTGAAAATAAGAACTGCCAAATAAGAGGTTTGAAACAAAGCAAGACTTTCCTTCCCCAGTTTCCCATATTGCCTTCCTCACATTTACATTTCTGTTGTCTTCCCCCCACCCATCCCCAACACCCCAAGTTCTTCTCTTTTTTCCTCCAACCTTAGAAATCCGGGCCATTTGAAGGGAAAGTCTGGCTAATTAGTTATCATCAAGACAATGTGACAAATATGAAAATGATGAAACAATTAAAAAAAAATTTAGGAATCAACTTTTATTGATGATGACAGTCATTTAGGCATCTGCAATTGTAACTTCAACTTCGACACCTGGCTCAATACTGATGGAAGTGATCTGCTTGACAATCTCAGAGGGGCTATGCAAGTCAATAAGACGCTTGTGGATACGCATCTGGAAACGATCCCAGGTCTTGGAACCTTCACCACAAGGTGTTTTCCTAGTAGTGATTCGCAGTGTCTGTAAAGGGAAACAAAAAAAATTGTAATTAACAGAGACAAGATACCCAGTATACATGGATCTGCAGCAGGCACCCTTTTCAAGACTACAGGTAGCAACAGGTGGGCATTGACACAGCTTCTACTAAAGACTGCCAAAGCCCCACATCCATGGGCTGAATCAAAGTCCTCTGCAGGCTGGATTTAGCTTGCAGACCTTAAGTTTCTGCCTCTCCCCACAGGGTTCCCAACCTGAACAAGATGTTCTATAGTCCAATTCAAATATTACTTTTAGTAATATGTTCTACTTTTAGTTCCTTGTCAAAAGGCAGCTCAGTGACCACTACAGCTGCCTTTTTTCTCGCACACCTAGGATCTTCAGTCCAGTAAAGAATGCACATTAGAAACAAAAAGTTTCTGGATTTGCTTTCAGTATGCTTTGCATTAATTTCCACTGAAGTGTTAATGAAAGTCATTCATTTGTAGGCTACATTATAATTTAACTACACTTATTCCAATGTAATAACCGTGCACGTCTCCTGTTTTTATTACTAGCTTACAAGCATATAAGATGCAGCTTTCCTTCCTTTTTTAGTTCTTACGCACCTTGGTAGGCATGCGAACAGGTCCCTTCACTTTAAGATTCTTTTCCTTTGCACCTCTGATCAAGTCAGCACACACTGCAAGAGACAAATTGCTTTAGATTCCTCTCCCACAACTGAACTACACTTCCATTTCACACCATTTGTTGGCTCAGAATAGCGTATAAGATTATCACAGTAATTCAGCTTACAGTTTATCCTCATAGCCAACTCTATATGGAAAACTAACTGATTCTGAAGAAAGCAAGTCATTTGTAAGTCTGAAATTTAGACTGGGACACACTAACAGTTAGACAGTGCTAGAGTGACTAATTTAAAGTACTGTTGAAAGATTAAACAGTTTAAAAACACAGTTCACTTGAAGGGCATGAACAAAGCAAGAATGTTTACAATATAACAAAAAATTCAAGCTCCCATTCCTGGTATAGACCAACCCAACCATTCAAATGAGATTTTAAATTGTTATTTTGTTTCACACCCCTCAGTGTGGGGTGCTTTGAAATAAAACACTCAATGAGCTTCAGTCCAATGATCCCTGGGCACCCTGACCCACAGGAGCTTTTAATCAGCATTGCTTGTTAACTGAAGTGCCCAGCACCATATCCACATATAAAAATGCCCTGAGAACACTCAATGTTTCTAGAGCTCCGAAGACCAACATCCACAACCCAGTACAGGCCTTTTTAGTTGTGCAACATAAAACGCAGGCCTTAACTCCAAATCTAATACAAATATCCAGAGCTAGCACCCCAGAACTTTACAGAAGTGCTGCTATAGTCAGTTTAACCCCCAGGGTGCATCCCTTCCCCACTGTAAAAACAGCACCTAGGGCTGTAGGCTCATCTCAGCCGCTTCCACTTTGCCAGGTTCTTGCTTTGCAAGAACTAGGAATCCCAGCTTCAGACCTCTGAAAACAAAGGCACCCCTTACCCTTCTCCAGAGATTTGACGTTGCGGCTGGTCAAGGTGATTCTAATGCGGTGAATCGCCACCTCCTGCTCCACAGGGGCTTTGCCCGTATCTTTAAACGCCTAAAACATTCAAACGGGGCAGGGGTTACTAGGGCAACGACCAGCTCCACGGCCCACGCACGGTCTTCCACAGCTCAAACCCGGGGCGGGAGCAGCCCCACGATGCTGGGCAGTGAGTGGGGGTAGGGACAGCGCGTCTGTTTGGCGCCTTACGGCTTCCATCAATCGGCGCCTACACCCACCGCAGGCCCGGACCGTGCCCCCCGCCCCACCCCCGGCCAGAGGGACCGGTCCCGAGGGAAGCGCCATTCGTCCCCTGCGCCCCTCCCTCACCATGGCTGCGGCGGATTCTTCCTGGCCGACTTGTTCCCGGGCGAGGCGGCGCGGCCCAGCGAACAGCGGTGAGCCAGGAGTCGCCACGCGGCAGCGGATCCACTCCCAGAGACAGAGCAGCGCATGCGCGGCGCCTTATATAGGCGGCGTGGCTTCTATCCGGGCACCCGGCGCCCTCACCCGGAAGTGAGGTCCCACCCGGAAGTGTTGTGGGGGCGGTGGTCCGCCAGGGGGCGGGGCGAAGGTTGCTCTCAGGCCTTGCCCCCACCCTCCGAGGCGCGCGCGCGTTGGCTGCTGCGCCTGCTCCGACCGCTGGCGCCTGGCGGCGGGGAGGGGCGGCTCGCCTGGGTGTCCGTGCCGTGCCGTGCCCTGCCAGGAGCTCTTCTCAGCTAGTGGGGGCCGACTCCTGTGGACCCAGACCCGGAGGGGTTCCCTGCATTCAACCCAGGAGCAGGAACCGCAACCTTTGTGGGGCTCTTAGCGATCAAAGCAGCTGTGGAAAGGTCCCAACAAGGCCAGCAGAGGCCACCCTTGGAGTAGGAAAAGCCAACTTGCACAACAGGACTCTCAGACCCAGGGGAGTACACATTCCTCCTCAACTTCCCTTGTGCAAAATGAAGTTTCTTTTCTATCCAAGAGGACTTCCACAATCTTTGATTTCTCCTTGGCCTGAAGAAGGGTGTGCGCTGGAAAGCTTGCAAAAAAAGATTTTTTTTTTTGCTGTGTTTTAGTTGGTCTAATGAAAGGTATCACCTCTGAACCAAGAGTTTTAGATTTCAAAAAGTTTAAGACACTTTTGAGCAGGGATCCTGTTGGGTGTCCAGTCAGAGATGAGGGTTTTGTGTGACCAGCAGTACAACTCGGTCCACTGGTACATCAGGCAGCCATGTCTTGATAAGTGGCTGCAAGGATGCGGAGAGGAGTTTCTAATTAGGCTTCCAGCAGGAGGGACACTGATTGTAATGGCAGCTTTCCTGGTGGTCTCTAGAGCAGCAGAAATAAAGGTTATCATTATTTTAAAGATTAGCTTCTTCATTGGGTTCTCAAGGAGCTGTGTGGTGAAAAGGTTGTGCTTTATTTCATGGCAAAACGGACATGGTGTGGAGGCCTCTAAAAGATGTGAAGCCTTTATGTGTCTACATCTCAGATGGCACCACTGCCACCTCAGCCAAGTGGCAGCCTGTTTCCTGGTAAAGTGTCTTGCCCTCAAAGCGGAGAAAAAAGCAGAGGAAGAAAAAGAAAGAATCCCAGCCTACAGCCTACTCTACCCCACAGAAAGACCTGCAACTTCTATGGTTAGATCTGGAGGTCAAGAATTGGACTCTTAAGTCACTCCAAGACTCATCAGTAAGATGTGGTAGAAATCACTCTCGAATTGAGGGATTGCTGGCAAACTAAACACACCAGAAAAATAGTAACAGTGTTTTAGGCCGCATGTACGAGGGACAGTCCACTCATTATCAATATACAGGAAAAAGGCAGAATATCCAAGCAGCAGTGTTCTACAATAGCTGTACCTCATCTTTTCATTAGCTGCCTCCTTTCTTTGCGGGACAGCAGATTTGATTTCCTGGCTGTGAGATGTCTTTCTGTTGCATTGACTCTATTTGCTCTCTTTGCTCTGTCCGTCTGTTAGCTTATTTCTATTCTATCTCTTTCCCCATAATTTCAGTACCGTTGTGGTTAAAAAGTGGTGAGTGTGTTATGTGACAATTCTTTTGCTTATCCAGTCTTCGTCCTCTTTCCACAAGCCATTTACAGGACCACTCCTGGTGCAGTACGGGAGGTGCTTTGTGAACTTCATTCAAGATCATTCCGTTTTCAAGAAAGAGCTTTAGATTTCACAAATGACTGAGTCCAATATGGTATCTCTAGATCTCTTCCCTAGACCTAAAGAACTGGCATGCTGCCTTCAGCCTACAGGTTGCAAAACTTTCATATTCCTGTTTTCCCTGCCCACAAATCACCTGTTGGTGATACTTGACTATGAGAGCAGCACACTGGTGACATTCCACATTTTTCTTCAAGGTTGCATGTAAATGTCATTTAAAAAGAAGACAGAAAGGGGACAGGGCTGAACACTATAGAAGTAACACGCAAGATTACTTGATGCAGAACAGCAGATGTCCCTCACACCTCTTGGGCAACTGTGATGACATACTGAAACCTATTCCATGTCCCACTACTGTATGAACTAGTAATGGTTTTCATAGATTCATAGATTCATAGATTAAGGGTCG